AAGATACTTATCTTAGTCTTTTATAGTGAATAATCAGCCAGAACATTTAGAAATAGAAAAACAATTAAATTTTGACACTTTCCTGGAAGTATTTTTCATTGATTTTTTTTTAAATAATAATACTGTAAATTCATTTTTTTCATATCATGGTGTATGCCATGTAGATGTAGAAAGGAAGATGCAAAATATAATCTGAAATCTTACATATATAACTAAAGTCTGTTTCCAAATAAATACAGCAAAAATTGATAGACCTGTTAGGAAAATGGGTAGATTTGTAATTGTCAGTACCCTCAATTACAGAACAAATAGATAACAACCACTAGAACAGAGACTTGACCACTTATTAAACACTGTACCCAGCCAGGGAGAAATATATACTCTTTTCAAGTACACATCTAGGATATAAAGAAAGTAATAAACATAAAGATTCAAGTCTTCCAATACTTGTTTTATTATCACAGTGGGATTGAACTCACTATCAAAGACTGGTGAGGGGCCTCAGTGGGTAAAGGTACCTGTTGCAAGTTTGATGACCCAAGTTCAATTCCTGGGACCCACATTTTGGGACGAGAGAACTCACAAGTTCCAAGTGTGCACTTTGGCATGAATCCCCTCCTCACTTATAAGTAAATAATTAAAAAATATATATCAATAAAAAATAACTAGAAATACTTAAGATATTTTAGAAAGGAGTAATACTAAATATAAAGAATAGAAGCTGGAGCCGGGCGATGGTGGCGCACGCCTTTAATCCCAGCACTCCGGAGGCAGAGGCAGGCGGATCTCTGTGAGTTCGAGACCAGCCTGGTCTACAGAGCTAGTTCCAGGACAGGCTCCAAAGCCAAAGAGAAACCCTGTCTCGAAAAACCAAAAAAAAAGAGAAGCTGGGAGTGTTTTCAAGAGCAAAATATCAAGATGTATAAGGTGCAGTACATCAGTAATTAAAGAGAAATTTGAAGCATAAAATAATCAAAAATGTATTTATAGTTGTTCTGTTACATTAATCTCTCATGTTGATTTATACATTTAACTTTACCATAGGACTGTGTGCCTAATAAGAAACTCTATACACAGGTCTCAGTACTGTACACTATCAAGCATTCACTAGGGTTTCTTCTATATAGCCCCTGCTGATGAGAGGAGATCTGCTTCATAGTGTTAGAGGTAGGGAGCCTTCTTGTGATAAACAGCATTTCCTCCACACCATCAAGTACCGTGATAGTTCCTAATATACTAGTGCATGATCATAGGGAGAGATTTTACAGCTATTCTCATTTTCATAGTAACAACTTAAAGCATCATTTAAATGTGGACTGGAGTGGTAGCTTGGTAAAGCTCCATTCCTTGCAAGCAAATGAGTTTGATCCTCTAGGAACACATGTTTAAAAGAACCAGTCTGGGGTGATAATGCACTCTTATAATCCAGCACTTGGGAGACAGACAGGCCTTCCAGCCTAGCTGCTGGAGAATAGGTCATGACGAGACCCTGTCTCCAAAAATAATGTAAACAGTACCTGAGCAACAGCAGCCACTCCATATGGTCTTTTGGCCTCCACATACATTTGCACACACATGCATTTGCATCACACACATACACACAAACGTACCTACACACACACATACACCAAAGGAAAATAATTTAGTCAGAGAAATACATACTTTCTGTAGAATACAAAACAGTGTCCTAAGCCTTTAATTAGGCTGCTCTATCTGTGCTTTGGCATGGCAGAACCATACTAGGAAGTGATTCTTCCTTTCCCAGATGCTTGGGAAAAACTAGGAGCCTCACAAGCTGGGTAGAAGAAGCTCTGAAAGGGCAGGATGACATCTAGCTTCTCCTCTGCAGTTGTAACTGAGCTGGCCTCTGACACTCAGGATGTCTTCATCAGTCCTTCAGATCACAGTACAGAGTAGCCCTTGCTTTGCCTCCCCAAGGAAGTGTCATTCTACTATGAAGCAGGGATCACTGAAAACTTGGGATCCAGCTCTTCTCATATTCTGGAGTATATATAGTATGAAGTTAAATCAGAGTCTTAGTAATTTCACCTTGTTTTATTAGTAGTAATTAATTTTATTAGCAGTAATTAATAATAGGAAAAATAGGGGTTACGTTTGAGTAATATTACAAACATAGCACTAACAACTTTGAGAAAATCTTTCTTTTGGGACATTGCTAGGCTCACTAGTTTTTATGAATTTATATTGCATCTATTTTTAACCATCATAGCATCATTTTGCTAAGCATGTCCTGACTGTAGTAGTCTAGGAGTCAGTCTAAATTCCAAAATACACAGATTTTACAGTCCAAGACTAAACAGACAAACAACTCTGATAAAGAATTTTTTAATTGAACTTTTTTTATACCAACTTGTGATGGAGGTGGGTCTTGTATCTTATCTGTTGCTTTCATTGGTTAATAATAAAGAAACTGCCTCGGCCCTCATAGGACAGAAAATTAGGTAGGTGGAGTAAACAGAAGAGAATGCTGGGAAAAAGAAGCTGAATCAGGGAGTCGCCATGATTCTCTCGCTCCAGACAGACACAGGTTAAGATCCTCCCTGGTAAGCCAGCTCTTGGGCTACACAGAATATTAGAAATGGGTTAGAACAATATGTAAGAGCTAGCCAATAAGAAGCTGGAACTAGCCGGGCCAGGCAGTGTTTGAAAGAACACAGTTTCCATGTAATTATTTCGGGACATAACCTAGCCATGCGGGCGGCCGGGTGCCGGGGACGCAGCCTCGCCACTCCTATTTCAACAAACTTGGGCAGAGTTAAGCAAAAATTAGGAAAATACGTATCATCTAATATCAGCGTTTTACAGTGTAAATTTGACTAGAGTAATTGTCATTAGAGTTTATAGATTACTTCACTACCATTGAAGCTGAACTTGTAAAAGTGGGGGAAACACGAGTCAAATAATCCCAAGCTGACTCCAAAAAGAGTATTCTAAGGTTTTTCTTTATTAAAGGGGAAAGCTCACGGAACAGGAACGGTGAAGGTGTGAAGTGCAGGAAGGAGAGAGGGGAGAGCTGGGCATGATGGCAGCTTTTCTGGGAACCCAAAAGTCATGTTCCCACCTGGTCCAGCCTTTTGAAGGCCATTGCCTGAAGGAGGTTCCTCATCATACTACACGTGAAAAATACGTATGCTTGCTCTTGAAAATGTGTGAATAATGAATGTGATATTTAGAATACTTTGGGATCATTGAAATCTAATATCCTACCTGAGAAATGATCATTGTCCAACTCTAAAAGTAGGTCTCTGTATAACCCAGACCAGGCCTTGAATGTGGCTGTGTGGCCTTGGGTTACTCAAACTATGTATTCCTCTTCCCTTTCCCCTCAGTCTTCTGAAACAAGCCAGAAATGATCTTTTTCTCTCATCTTTCTTTTTTCTTTTCTTTCTTTTTTCAAGACAGGATTTCTCTTGTCTCCTAGCTATCCTGGAACCCGCTCGCTTTGTAGACCAGGCTGGCCTTTACTGGAGTAGGAGGATCTTCTGTCTATGTGTTACTTTCATTGGTCAAATAAAGAAACTGCCTTGGCCTTTTGATAGGACAGCAGCTTAGATAGGCGGGGTAGACAGAACAGAATTCTGGAAGAAAGAAAGCAGAGTCAGGCAGACATCATGGCTCTCTGGCCCAAGACGGATATAGGGTAGAATCTTACCAGTAAGCTACAGTCATGTGGTGATACACAGATTTATTAAAAATGGGTTAATTAAGATGTGAGAGTTAGCCAAGAAGAGGCTAGAGATAATGGGCCAGGCAGTGTTTTAAATGAATACAAGTTTCTATGTAATTATTTTGGGTTAAGCTAGCTGGGTGGGACGGAACAAGGGGCCCTCGCTATTTACAACACTCTACTTCATAGAGATCCACCTGTCTGAGTGCAGGGATTAAAGACATATATCATCACACCTGGCTTGAAAAGATCTTTTTCTAAATGCATTTTATATTGTGCATAACAGTTTCATGTCTATACACTATTTTATTCATATAATTGCTTGGCAATTGTGGTATTATCCCGTTTTGCTTAAGGAAACATATTCATGTGGGTTTAGTTGCCTTCTCAAGACCGTGCTAATGTCTGACTTGGTGCACATGCCTGTTATCCTAGCCCTTGGGAGCCAGAGGCAAGATATCTGCTACAAATTTGAGGTCGGCCTAGTTTGCATGGTGTTCTCCTGATCAGCTGCTCAGATTATGGTTTAAGCTGTGATACTTCCATTAAATTGGAATATTTTAGATGATTGTCCTTTATAAATGGTAGTATAGACACTAATTGTTTCCATATACCTATTGAGTGGCATTTCTGTCTTAGCACTAGGAAGGCTGAAGCAAGAAAATAGGAATTCAAAGTCAGTTGAGGCTAAATAGGGAGATCCTATTTCAAAAAAACAAAAAGCTTTTAAAGAATTCACTGTATGAGGATAACTGGATATCACTCTCCATTTTATCAGATTACCTTATTTTTATACAACTAATCTCTTGGAATAGAAATTAGCTGAGTCCTCAGTATTATCAAAGTGTGTGTTTTAGAATGTTTTATAGTATGTATATATGTATGTGGGCATGTGTGTATATGCATACACACATATACATGGACTTATAAATGAGCTTAAAATAGGAAAAGGAGAGAAACACATCTATATAGGGAATTGTGGTTGTAAATATAGCCCTAAGTATTATTAAAACTACTTTAAAGTTGTTTTTATTTTGGTGAAAGAATAGCATGCTTTCTTGGCAAAGAAACAGCAGCATCTTTACACGGTTTTTGTACTTCATAACTTTTCTGGCATTCAGTTTTAAATTTAACTTGTAATTTAGTTATGAGATTTTCCTCAGGCAACAAATACAAGTAGAAGCTATTATTTAAGACACTAAATTTGACTCTTCTCTCCTTTCCTTCGACGTCTTCACCTATCTCTTTAATAAGCTAGAGGCGACCTTATAGACGTTGTGAGTCATGGGTCCCCTCAACATCCACTCAGTCCTGCTTCTGTAGCATACAGGCAGCTGTGGACAGCAAGAAGTGAGCAGAGCTGGACTCCAGTAAGGCTGTTTATGGTCATTCTATCTTTCATGTCATAAAACATCGTCTTGTGAAGTTCTTTCCACTGTTTAAAATGTAAAATTAGTAGCTCAGCATGTAGCTCAGTGGCAGTTGGTTCACCTGCTTGGCATCCTTCAATCTCAGCACCACAAAAAGTAAAAATGTAAAAGCTATTCTTTACTGAGAAATTACATAAAAATGCAGGTCAGATTTAATGCATGGCCATTATTTGGCTGACTGTGTTTCAGTAGATGTTTTTTGAAGTGCTTCCTGTGCATAAACCATGAAGTATAAGCAGAGAAATCCAAATATGCACAAACAGATGTGATGTGTGTAACCAGAAGTGGAAGGGTTGCTAAGATCTGTGTTGGTTTCTGCACGTTTTCTCTTGTTTTATCCTTGCGATAAGTTTTATTCTAGTCCAGGTGGTCCAGAGCTTGCTGTGCAGCTTACTGTGCAGTGAGGCCCCATCCTCTTCCCTCATAATGATAACTTTACAGACAACTCTTGGTTTTTGAAGTATTGTTTTTAATACTGTTTTTCTCATTTTTGAGATATTACACAATTACGCCATCCCCTCCCCATTTTCTCCCTTTAAACCCACTGATACATTCCTTCTTGCTTACTTTCAAAATCATGGCCTCTTTTTTCATTAATAATTGTTACATGCATATATATGCTTATATACACATATTCATAACTATAACATGTTAGTCTGTATAATGTGACTTGTATGTATATGATTTCAGTGCTGACCATTTGGTACTGGGTAACCAGTTGGGGAAGACTTTCTCCCCCTCTCAGCGTTCCTTAGTTGCCTGTAGTTCTTTGTGTAGGGATGAAGCCTCCAAGTCTTCCCCCCAGTCCACTTTGGTATGCTTTATAATAGGAACAAGTATGTATATCAGTTAAAGTTTGTTATTTTTTCTGAGAATTAGATATAGATTGGTCAGAATGTTATGAATACTTATCACTACTGATATCCCAAATTTGTCCTTATTTTTAAGCTATAATGAATGCTAATTGACAATATTTACCTCTAATATGAATTATTATTTTTTATATTTAATCATTTTTCAGTTTAATCTCAAGGCATTGCAAATATATTTTATTTTAAATATATAATAAAATATAATTTAAAATAATAAAATATCCTGTGCAGTAAAGGAATGATAATCACCTTTAAAAAAGGTAGAATAATCCTAATTCACGGTCAGATTCTTTAACCTACAAAAATAATGAGTTATAAGGTTGGGAACAGGGCAGTTGTTCAGCATGTGCAAAATTCCAGCAGTGAAAAATCAATAATAATAGCCATAATAAGAGTTAGAATTATTCTTTTTCTAGTAAAGTTTTTTAGATTACAGATAACTGAGTAACACTGGGAGTGATGTGACTTGTGTCTTTCAATGTGTTCTAACTCCTCAGGCGAGTATGCCTCGGCAGCAGAGCTGTACAGAGAAGTGCTACGCTCCTCCGAGGAGCACAAAGGAAAACTCAAAACCGATTCTCTTCAAGTAAGTTTAGCCTGAAAAGTGTCAAATGTGCGTTTAAATTGTTTCAAACAATGTCTTTTCAAAATGTTAAAATAAAATGTAACAGTGAACTGAGTCCCAATAACTAGAGATAAAAGCTGGTATTCCTTTTTTTAAATGTACCCCCTGGAGTGGTTTGTGTATATGATAAAGTTTGAGAATCACAACTGTTCTTTCTCTGTGGGCCTATAGCCTACACTGGTAGATAGTTGTAATTGTTTGTAATTCAGCGAGTAGGCTAATTTTATAATTTTCCATATGCACATTAACATATTTGTTCAAATAACCTTTATCAGAAATAAAAATGAGCTAAAACTAAGATAGTGAAACTGAGTAAAATAATGGTGACCCCTGGTCTTCTAAGTTCTACTTTTAGAAACCTTGTAGGATTTGCATGTTTGAATTATTTCACTAGCTGCTCTTTCCCAGCAAATCATAGGTAAGAGTCTAGGTAAGTGAGAAATAAAGGTTCATTTATTAATCTCGGCATGCTTGGGCTTGTCATTCACAAAGACTTTAAAACTTGCATACCCATGTGATACGATAGGCATTTGGAAAAGTGTATAAAGGGGAAAGAAATAGGGCAAAAGTCAACTGAAAGTGTATTTATTTTTGCAAAGGTTAACAAGGCAGGATATGGACCTTAAACATGTGTGTATCTCAGGGAACGATGTCTTGTTCTTCAAGAAAGGAAATAAAGATAGAAGAGGGCAAGAAGATAGTTTGAGTTCCAAATTTCTGAGTTCAAAATCAAAGGATAAGCCATCCGCTTCGTTCTTACTTATCATTAGCTTATGTCTGCTGCCTGGCAAAGTGTTGCTCACTGAATCCTACTGTTTCCAGTCAGGTCAGCAATGCTGTTCTTTTGGGATAAAATGGTACACATATTTTCCCTTCTAACTACTTATACAAAAATTAATAGGTCGTTTTCCACATGCACACAGAGAAGATGAAACACGTATCTCTAGTATCATTTGTACCTTTTTGTCATTAAATCTGCTAGTACTATTCACTGTGTGGTTTAAGGAGCCATGTTGAAAAGACCTAAAACAATTGAGGTCATGTAGACTCCACAGAGACTTATGCTATAGCTAGTAATCTATGCCCAGATAAAGTGAGCTCTGAAAGTCTTAGATCACTGGCACCAAATCATATTACCAGAACTCTGTCCTAATCATCTTTTAGCCCTAGCTATCTCCCCAGATAAAAAACCACTGTGATTTCACTTCAGTTCTGCTCATTGCCTCTAACCTCTAGCCAGTTGCTGACTATTCATAAGCTCAGTGTGTTCAGATAACAACATCTGTTTTCATTATCTCTGTTTTTGTCATAATGCTGTTAAACACTTTCAGACTCATTTTCTAGAAAAAGAATCAAGTTAGTGCAGTCAACCTCTCTATATATTACTGTGTGGTCTTGAATCCTGCAATTTCCTATGTAGACTTTTGTATGTACGATAAAAAAGGAGGTATACCCGTGTACTCGTACTTTGCTGAGTACATAGCCATACTACAGGAAAATGTATATCCTTAATTGAAGAAAATTCATGTTGTGATTTAAGACCTTTGCTGTTTACCTTCCTCTGGAAAAAACAATGTCATTCAAGCATTTCCAGATGAAAAGTATTCAGCAAGAGAGGCTTTGAATTTGTGCTCTGTGTGCCACGCAGCAGATGCTGTGGTGTCCACTGCATTGCATTACAGCATCGCCTTTTGTGTTTATAGAGACTTCATGCCACACATAACTTAATGGAGCTCTTGGCAGCCAAGCACCCAGGGATACCTCCCACCTTAAGAGATGGCAGACTTGAAGAAGAGGTAATCGTTATTCTTTCATTCTACTTACGAAAGTTTACTTTTTCAAACTTTATATTTCATTTAGGTGTTTCTAATGTATAACATTTAAGTAAATGTAGCCAGCCATGTTTTCCTGTAATTTTGATGTTTCAAACATTGCAGTGGTGACTTGGAATGACAGAGAATATTGGACTCCATATTATTTGTTTCTCCGGTGCTCTTACTTAGCTTGTATATACTGAATTAATGATTCATAATAGGCCTATAAAGAGTTTGGTAAACAGACAAGTTACATTCTCTCCCTCTCTTTGTTTTATTTCAGAGAGCACGTGAACTTAAGTTCTCAGTCGCGTTTCTCTCTAGAGCAGTTGTTCTCAAGTTTCCTAATGTTGTGACCCTTTAACACAGTTCGTCATGTTATGGTGACCCCAACCATAAGTTATTTTTATTGCTACTTCATAACTAAATTTGCAACTGTTGTAAGTTGTCACGTAAATATTTATTTTCTGGTGGTCTTAGGTGACCCCTGTAAAAGGGTCCTTTGATGTGCCCCCGCCCCCCCGTGGGTCATGACCCTTAGGTTGAGATCACTGCTCTAAGCGTTTTATTGAAAGGAATGATACTATAAGTTGTTTTACTAGAAATTCCTAATAACTTGCTATACTAATTCTCCCAAGAACTTTTGCCTTTTTTTAAGATCTAAGAGGAAGAACATCAGTAAGTTGAAAGAGTAGATATGGTTGAAATACATTGAACCTCAAAGTAAGAGTTTTTATTAGAATCAACAAGATAGAAAATTTGGATTTTATAAGTACATTTATCCCTTTATTAAAATGAGTAATTTTTGTTGACAAAATTTTATGGATTTTGGTATACAAAATGATGTTTTGATGTATACAGATATTGTAGAGTGGCTAACTAAACATAATCTCTCCCCATTACCTCATATACTTAATTTTTATAGTGGAAATATTTAAAATCTATTCTCAATAGTATAGTGTGGCTGTAGTCATTGGTGTATAGTCCTTTGATCAGTATCCCCTCAATCTGCAGCCCCTAGCTGTAGTGTTTCTTTGGGACTAAATAGCCTTGGGATCAGGCGGGACAGAAATCTCTGTCAACACCTAGCAACCTCCATTCTCTCCATCCAAGTGAGGTCATGCATAATTTATCTTTAATTTGTCGGTTTTATTTAGTATGTCCTCTGTGTTTACCTATGCTGTTACAAATAACAAGAAATTATCCTTTTTTGAAAGCTAAACATTATACCACTGTGTGTGTGTGTTTGTGCACACCTGTATGTGTGTTTATTGCTTTTTTTATTTATATATGTTTGTGATGTACATGCATGTATGCATGCTCTCATTTGTGTGTACATGTGTATGCATGAATGTGGAGGCATAAGATTGATGTCAAGAATGTCAGGAGTCATTCTTGACTATCTTCTGTCTGGCTCTTTGAGTCAGAGTCTCTCAGTCAAACCCAGAGGTCATTAATAGAGCTACTAGTGCCAGCCATTTTGCCCAGAAGATCCCGCCTTTCCATCTTCCAGGGCTGGAGCTAAGGCGAGCTGCTCTTCTGGCTTGTGGGGCATGCCCTGTGACTACTGAGCCATCTCCGTAGCTTCAGATAGCATATTATGTTTATGAATTATTTGATCACTATCCTTTTATTCATGGTAGTATTTATCTACTCAGACTGTCATAAGAACACTACAGGCTAGGGGCTTAAAAAATAAATATTTCTTACAGTTTTAGAGTTTGAAATCCAGAATTAATGTGTATTTCCTCAAGTCTATGTGTTTAATGTCTCTTCCAGCTCCTCTCTCTGATTTAGATACTGCTGTCTTCTTATGTGGCCTGTGTTTTGTGCTTGTACATCCCTGGTGTTTCTTTTCTCATAAGGGCTCTACTACGGCACTACTCATATGGCCTTAACCTTAGTTCCCGTCTTACAGGTCCCATCTCCAAGTGCAGTCACACTGAGGGTCAGAACTTCTGCACATAAATTTTAGAGGAACAGGCTCAGTTTCTTAACACTTTCATTACTGTATATTCAAGAATTATTTTTAAGCTACAGCAATTTTTTAAGCTTGTCCAAAGTATTTTATTTTGTAATGGAAGAGGCAGGATTATCAGATTACCTGCTCATTATTCAGTAGTGTACAAACAAAAATATTCAAAGAACAAAAAATAAATAATTTTATTTTTGCAGAAACTTGATGCTTCCAAATATCACCACTTACACTCTTTTATCACATTTCAAATGTTTTCATGTTTCAAATTTTTCAACTTGTCATAGCATAAGTGGCTTTTAGACATAAAGCAAAGAAAAACAAACCCCAGAGAACCTAGACAACAAAGAAGTTCCTAAGAGAGACATACATGGATCTAATCTACATGGAAAGTGGAAAAAGACAAGAGCTCCTGAGTAAATTGGAAGCAAAGGGAGGGGAGTGGAGAAAAATATATAGCTCAATAAAAACAATAAATAAAAGAAAAAACTACAATTCTTAAAGGCATTGCTACAACTAAAACAGAGAAGTAATTCTATATTTTTTGCCTCATTTGTAAAATATTAATTTTTTTATCCTATAAAGGATAAACCTTTAGGAGTATAATCTTTTGTGGCTTGGACATACCAGTTTTGTTCTTTTTATTGTATATCTTAGAAATTTCTAGAACAACTTTATTTTATTTTTTACACCATGGAATTTTATATATGAATCAAGGAACTTTAAATGTATGGAGTGACCACATTAGTACTGAAACATCATACTAAATTATGTTCAAACCCTCAAATAAAAGTTTATATTGATTCTGTTTCAACACAGGCCAAGCAGCTTCGAGAGCACTATATGAGCAAGTGTAACACAGAAGTTGCTGAAGCCCAGCAAGCTTTGCAGCCTGTGCAGCAGTCCATCCGGGAGCTCCAGAGGAAGGTACCGATGTGTGGGCTTCTTTCTTGTGCTTGTCCCCAGGTAGCAGTTTGAATCTGTTTTGTTTGGGAAAAATTCTTGAACTTCTTGTTCCCTTTTGAATTCTTAGCACCTTGTTGAGTGCCTGTATTATAATACAGATGTCTTATTACTTTTCGCGACTCATCAGAACTCCATGACAAAGGCAACTTATAAAGAAAAGTGTTTATTTGGGTTTATGGTTTCAGAGATTGAGGAGTCCATGGAGGCCAAAACAACTGAGAGTTCATGTCTTGATCCACAAGCATGAGGCAGAGAGAGAGAATATGCTGGGAATGGAGTGAGTTTTTTGAAACTCAAAGCCATCCCCTTGTGACAGACCTCCTCCAACAAAGCCACACCTCCTAAATCCTTAACAAATACTTCTACCAAGTGGGAACCAAGAATTCAAATATAATAGCTAGTGAGGCCATTCTCATTAAAACCACTACAATAAGTTTATTAGTAATTAATAGTGTTTGTTCTAGAGTGGACAGATAGGTGGATGAGTCAACTATTTTAAGGTTCAGTTTTCTTTCTTTTTATTTTTGATTTTTCAAGACAGAGTTTCTCTGTAACTTAGGAACCTGTCCTGGAACTAGCTCTTGTAGAGCAGACTATCCTCGAACTCAGAGATCCACCTGCCTCTGCCTCCCAAGTGCTGGGATTAAAGGCATGCACCAATACCACCCGGCTAAGGTTCAGTTTTATTTTTTTTAAATTCTAGTGGATTCCTTTTATGTTGGGTAAATAATAGTTTGTCCTTTGGAGAAAGTATAAAGGCTTCTATAATTTCCTTCTGATCTTAGCTATGGCTTTCTCCACATTTAGAATCCCCAATTTTACCCTTACAGACCAGATGCCTTTTATCCTTTCTAAATTTGTTTTTTATGACACCAAAAAATAATCTAAGACGAGACAGCACAAACAAATTGTCTTCTTCTACATAGAATTTTTTATCAGTTGTTCCATGTGTTACATTTCCTAATTCATTAATTATTTAGTACCTAGTCATAATTTTGCTTTTATTCAGTAGACTTTAATTCGATACTCATTGGTTAGATATACCTTTGTTGACTGTGTTGCCCTATACCCTTAGAGAGGCCTGAGTTTTCTTCTTGGTAAAATACTTTTTAATACAGCTTTGATACACAAGTTTTATATAAAGTCTTGTTCATCTACAGTATTCCAAAGAGCAACTCTTTTGTTATGAATACAAAAGAGATATTTTTCTGTGTGATGTAGATATATACAGTATACACACATCTGTTGTTATCCTTTGAGAACAGAACTTAATGATTTTTTTCTTTTTTCTTTTTTTTTTTTTTAGTTCTTCACATCACTTTTCTCAGTAAATGCTAAACTTATGTAGTAATTGGTCAGTTTTGGCATTTTTTTTTCCAGATTCATTCTAATTCTCCTTGGTGGCTGAATGTGATCCACAGAGCAGTGGAATTATCTGTTGATGAGGAACTTGTTCAGCGGGTGCGAAATGAAATAAGTAGTAACTACAAGCAACAAACTGACAAGCTCTCTATGTCGGAGAAGTAAGGAAACAGTACAAAACAGAGTCACTGTTTAGACCATTTAGTATCAGGAGGTGCAGTTCAGTGTCCCATCATGTACTTAGGATTTACACATTTTGTTGTGTATTTTCAACAAAAATATTAGATATTATGTCTAAAACACAGACCTTTTTTCCCGATGGTCATCATTTGAGACCTTTTAGAGCCTTCGGGTCTGTTCTTGGTTGCTGTTGTTTCATACTCCCTTTGAGTAGCTCTGCCCTGAACTCATTGTGTGGACCAGGCCTGTCCTCCAACTGGAAGATCCAGCTGACTCTGCCTTTCTCTGCTGGGATTAAAATCTTGGCAGCACTGCATCTGGCTTAATTACATTTTTATAAGATGTGTCCATTTTTCTTCTCAATTTTGTTTTATCCTGTAGTCTACACTCTCTAAATAGGAAAAGAATGTCAGAAGATATAATTTATAGTGTTCCAGCCTTTAAAAGTTAGAATGTATATTAGTCCTGATCTTTGAAAGATACTATCAGCACTATTTTAGTTCCCAAAAATAGAATCATCAAACTCTCTGGCATTTAATTATACCTTGGGTACTAGTAGAGACCACTGGGCACACTCTGAAAGAAAGTGTCAGCAGAGTGTGTGAGTTTGTTCATTTATTTAACACTGTGATTGACAAACATTTTCTGGAGAAACTGACTTGTTCCTTTCTTTGGGTTGTGTGCTGTGCTGGTGATGGGAATAAGGTTCCGTGACTGCAGAGGACTTCAGTTCTTACTCACAACACAAATGGAAGAGCTCAGTAAGTTCCAGAAGCTCGTGAGAGAGGCTGTGAAGAAGCTGGAGCGACCTCCATCCCGTGATGTGATTGAGTCTGCCACAGTCTGCCACCTGCGACCAGCTAGACTCCCTCTCAACTGGTGGGTGGTAGGGTCATGCAGGTTACACCATCTTCTAGGAAGTCACATTTGGTCTGACTTCCTCTCAACTGGTGGGTGGTGGGGTCATGGAGGGTAAAGCATCTTTCAGGAAGTCACATTTGGTCTGAGGCTAGAAACAGTTGCTCGTGAATTGAACCATTTTCTCTTAATTCAGACAGGTGTAGATATGTATTTTTTAAAAAAAGCAAATCAAGGATTATATGCTTGATAACCATGTTATTTTTTCTTACATTCTTTGTTAGAAAAAATAAAATACAAAATGTTAAGCTTTTTTTAAGAAATTATCTTATTGCTGGTCAAATTTCTCTGATAATCTCTTTCAGCTGCGTCTTTTGTAAAGCCGATGAATTGTTCACAGAGTATGAATCAAAACTATTTTCTAACACGTAAGTTCACTGAGGGTTGAATGTCTGATTATGTGACTGTATTTTCTGTTATGACCTTTGTTATATTTTTCCTGTATTAAATCAATTTAATGATCATTTGGCATCTAACATGCCCATTTTTTCTTTAGAAGTTACTCCTAAATGTTCATGAGGGACAGTCTGTAATTATCGCAGATAAGAAGCAATTAAGAGTAGTAGTAAAATCTCAGGATCAATAGTCTGATGGATTTGAACTCAAATCCCTGTCCACTGACAAGGGCAAACTATCTCTCTGACCCTCGTGAAGTAAAGATAACAACTAACCTTACATATTTTTTAAGTATTAAATAAGGAAATATATATAAAACTATTTAGCAAAGTGCTTAGTAAGTACCTTAGTAAGTAAAAAATTAGTGACAGTTGTTATTTTCTTCATCAGAGACCTTGTGTGTGTTGGGCGTGTAGACAAGTCTATGCTCTGATTGTGGCCTGTGCTTGGTTGCCACTTTGTCTCTTCTTCTTTATTTTTTAATGGCTGGTAATGATTGTAGCTCAGAATTCTCAGAATGTGACTTATAGAATGAAATTTAGAGATTCATTTTTTGGTGTTGTTGTTGTTAGATGGTTTTATTTGTTTGTTTGCTATTATCCTGGATTGTGCTCATGAAACACTAGGCAAAACACTTACACCTGTAATCTAACCTTTGAAAGTTGAAGGAAGGACAACCAGGAGTTCAAGGCCAGCCTCTGCTATGTAGGAATGTGAGGCTAGTCTGAACTACATGAGACCCTGTCTCAAAAATATAAAATAAAACAAAACAGGACAATTTTCAGAATTGCTGTTATTTCTTTTTTTCAAAGACCTATAAGTATTAATGTATTGATGTGAAAATTGCCATAGAGCTACTGAACTTGCTTTTCTGTTTGTCCTAATGGCATCCTTCTGCTAGTAATCATTGGAAGCAGTTAGAATTACTTCGGTCTGTTATCTTTTCAGAGTCAAAGGCCAGACAGCAATCTTTGAAGAAATGATAGAAGATGAGGAAGGACTTGTGGATGATAGAGCACCTACCACTACCCGGGGCCTGTGGGCAACAAGTGAGACAGAGCGATCTATGAAAGCAATATTGTCATTTGCAAGATCACATAGGTTCGATGTCGAATATGTAGATGAAGGAAGTGTTTCAATGGATCTTTTCGAGGCATGGAAGAAGGAATATAAGGTAGAGTTATAATACAGAAAATAATTAATAATTAATACAGAAAATAGTAAACAAAAATTATTAAACTGACACTTGGAGTTAATATTCATAAACTTTTGCTTAATTGTGTGTTTCATTCTATTATTAGCTGGATCTTCACAACTTTTTTTTAAATATATGACTTTTTTAAAAAAAATTTATTTTTATGTGCATTGGTGTGAAGGTGTCAGATTCTGTGGGACTGGAGTTACAGATAGTTGTGAGCTGTCATGTGGGTCTAAGAATTGAACCCAGGTCCTTTGGAAGAACAGCCCTCTTTAACAACTGTTTTATGAAACTAACTTAAGGCTTTATTTCATTTTTGCATGGGGAATAACAACCAAATATCAATATCAGATTTGAATTTTGGGGAGGAGAGCAGATACTTTTCAAGCTGGAAATCTGGAAACCATTGCAATGGATGCAGCATAAGTTGCCTTTAGTTTTATACTTCACTGATTCCTTTGTACTGTAACTATATATGAGATGTGCTTCTAAGATTTTTTTATTATTAAAATAAGTTTTCTTACTAAATTTGTTATCTTTGATTTTGCATATGATATAGGTATGGGGAAACAGTATTTTTAAATTATAATGTTACGTTTTCCATATGTTACTATTTTTTATGTTATTATTTCAAGACAAAATTTAAAAAATTGTGTCAAATAAGATATAATGTCTAAAATGCCAGTTCATACTTTTGATAAATTGAAGAATAATACTTTTATAAAGTTGAAATCATTAGTTCACCATATTTGCTGTTATAAATGAAAAGCACATGAACACAGTTCATTACAGCATACCATGGAGGATGACATTGTTCTTACAGTGCCCTGTCATTCTTGTATTGTTTTCTGTAGCCTAATCTTGCCATACGCTCTGTCTTAGATGAGTGCTTATCATGCCGCTCTAAATCTTTGTACATTTTTACTTTATAAATGAAAAATGAATGAGCAACCACTAGATACCATCAACTAGTATTTACTTCAAAATGCTACTGAATAAATTATCAGAATATTTATAGTGATTGATAACATTTTTATAAATTATGGGAAAGTATAGTATTTTTCTAATAAAATGGATTTAATAGTAATTGATAGTAATTAATAATAAATAGTAATAATAGTAATTGCCTATTTAGCCTTAAAGGAGAAAGTATAAGGAAATAATGATACTATTAAGACTTCCTAAGGAATATAAATATAAAAATATTTTAAGACAAAAACAGTAGTGATCACATAAATCTGGTATCGGTTTATGTCGAGCTTTGTCTCACCATGAAATCTTCAGGTGTTCTTCCTGAGAACTGCAACAGCATCCAACTAGATTATTTTCTCATATGTCCTCATCCTAAATTAGCCTAAGGAATACATTTCCTTGAACATTTAATGAAAAAATGTAGGCCTCATTAAAGCATTTTGCTCAAGGTACATCTTAGTGATTTTGAACAATTTTAATTCTGTGTCTTTATCTTTCCACTTCAGTTACTTCATGAATACTGGATGACCCTGAGAAATCGTGTGTCAGCTGTTGATGAACTTGCAATGGCTACAGAGCGGCTAAGGGTTCGCCATCCCAAGGAACCAAAGCCAAACCCACCTGTCCATCACATCATTGAACCACATGAGGTAGTTGAGAGTAGGATCACAAAAACACAGCAAAATCCATTTGCCAGCAGACATAGAGTGAAAGCAGTGATATTATCTAGAAATAATTGCTGCTATAAGTATGAGCCACATAAAACTGTTTTTATAGGTCAGTTTCATTCGTATGTGATATGTGCTTAGTGTGACCACTGTGGGGGTTTGTTTGCAGATTCATATGTTTTGAATACTTTCTATTCATCAAATCCAATATATTCTTGGTCACTGAAAAGTTTTTTTTTTTCTTTTCATTTTTTATTTGTGTAGTCATGGCTGTCTAGGAACTCACCCTGTAAGCCAGACTGGCCTTAAACTCAGAGATCCTTCTGCCTCTACCTCCCAAGTGTGGGATTAAAGGTGTGTACCACCACTGCCTGGCTTAGAGATGGAAAAAGGATGGCTCATCTGTTAAAGGCTAGGCTCACAACCAAAAATAGAAGTATTTTATATAGCCTCAGTTTACCAGAATCTGAAAAGCATGTTTCTCAAAAGAAACTAGAAGCTTATATTTTGCAGGTTCTTTCTCTTACTAATAGAAGGTATTTACTCTGATAATCCCTGTTTGTGTCAGGATTCAGTCAGAACTCCACCACTCTTTTCTAGTCCATAACAAAAATACTTACTTCCTTTGTAATTTATTTTTATTCCCTATGGTGGTTTAATACTTCAAACTGATTTCTTTCTGTGAAGCATTTAGATTGCAATTTTGAAAAAGTTCAAGATAATTTATAATGTTTTATGCTCTCTTAAGTATGAATTCTCGGTAATGTTTTTCTTCTAATGTGTGTTTTAGGCTAAATTTACAGCACTAAAAACAAAAAGAATAATGAGGAAAATCTCCCTCCTTTAATTCCCCTTTCTTTCTGATGTATTGTAGAAGGGGAAGAAAAGTCAGGGTTATTCTTCCTGGATTTCATAAAACCAATTTTAACAAGCAGTGCATCATGTCATTATTTTCTTTCCATACATGTATTATTGAGATGAGGCACATAAATAGAATTCAGATAGATTTTTATCCAATTTTCCTATATATCACTATGCTTCCATTTAAAAGAACATCATGGAATTCTGTCTTCTGTAAAACAAAGGCATCCTTTCAAAGTGTTTTCAGTAGTAATCTTGTAAAATTGAATTTTAATGTGTAAATGGGTTTTTATAGGACAGGACATAAATTTTCATTATTCAGAAGCATTATGCATGTTCAATATAGTTGAACCCTATTTTGAGAGAGAATAAAGATTTTGTTTGTTTATTTCTAGGTTGAACAGAACCGTATAAAACTGATAAATGATAAAGCGGTTGCCACATCACAGCTCCAGAAAAAACTTGGACAGCTTCTTTACCTGACAAATTTGGAGAAGGTGTTGCTTTTCTTAAATGTTGTTTTTCCATACTGTATTTCAAGAACCACTTGAGTGATAGTTTCCACTTAAAGTATCAATCCCAAACAGATGTTTAGCTTGTGTTAAATGAGTCAAGACTAGTTTTGTCTACAATGACTCTACAGGCCCTCTGCCTTTGCCCCTTCCCCTGACTATCCTCCTACCAGACAAGGTCATGAGCTGTTGTGTCTCCAGGAGCATCCTGTCCATGTCAATCGCCCAGCCCATCCCAGAAAGTACCCAGATGACCTGTAGAATTATGAGGAATACATATGGTGAATTACTTTAAGCCATCATGTTGTAGATATTTGTTTTATGTGATCCAAAACAGATCAAAATTAAGATGAAATAATTTATTCAACTCTTTTAAATGCCTTTATAAACTAATTTTGATGCCTTTACTGTTACTAAGTTTAAGTACAGAGTTTTGTTTTATTTTTGTATTACTACTTAGAAAGAGGTTTTTGTTGTGCTTTGATTTTATTGTTTGAATATTCAGTTAGTGAATCCAGAAAGAAAATTTTTAGTGATCTTCTATTCAGTTCACTATTATGTTGTCCTCACTTAAAGCTTGTCCATCTTACTGACTTTCGAAACTTGAAAATTTTATGAGAATTTTAAGGAGGTGTTTAAAATCTATTATAGTTTGATAGAATGTTAGGCACAGAAGTCTCAAATCAATTCTATATCTGCCTTTCAATTATTTGCTTAGTGATTCATGAAGGGATGCTGAGAAGCAGCAATCTTAATACAAAACTGTGCTAAGTAACAGCCTCTTCCCACACCTGTCCTTGTGCTACTTAACATTAGAGTGTACACTTCTACATATATGCATTATGATTGCACACTTCTGCATACGCATTATAGTACACACTTCTACATGTACATATGCATTAGAATACACACTTATACATAACGCATTATAGTACATACTTATACATGTACATTAGAAGTACACACTTCTACATAGGCATTATACTGTGCATTAGAAGTGCACACTTGTACCGTGACATTTAAGGAGAGAAATAGTTTCTTGTAATCTGAGCTCCATCAGAATACCTTGAACTTTTCATTCAGCTGCATTTCTTTCCCAAGTGCTAAGATTAAAGTTGTGTTTCTCCATACCAGTTATTAATTCATAATTCTTTATGATAAAATGTAGTCTGAGAATAAAATTTTGAAGGTTTACATATTTATATTTTGATTTTAATTTTGCTCTCCATTGTAATCACAAATATAGTACATACTTTAAATTATGTTAAAAAATGGTTTCCTTTCTTTGTGTTCTAAATAAATTATAGAAATAATAGTATTAGGTAATACATAAGTATTTGGATTTGGTCATCTCACTAGTTCAGGTTGAAATTACCAGCACATCCTTATATAAGTAGATTTCAAAGCATTCATCAAGTTCTAAATATAAAAACATAGCTAACATGTTTTGGGATTCTTTTTTTCCATAGTCTCAAGACAAAACATCAGGAGGTATTAATCCAGAGCCTTGTCCAATCTGTGCTCGACAGCTGGGAAAACAGGTAAAATTATATTAAGCATCACATGAATTAATAAAACACCTTACAATTCATAAGGTTTCTGTTCTACATGTAGTCAGCCTTTCTCTGTCTCATGCACATGCACACACATGTGCTTTCTCATGCACAACTGTGATGAGGAGTGTTTAGTTCTCATCTTAGTGGTAGGGCCAGGACTTAGTTGACATGCTTAAGGCTACAAATACTTCAGCCATCTTTTTCCTAAGTGAAAACTTAACCCTAGAACAATCTTATCTTTTTCATTAAAGATTCATAGTTGTGAAGGTTTTTCCAAGTAACTTAATTTTGCCACATTAACATATTTGGTAGTTAAACAAAGAATAATGTAACACGTTTAGTGGAAAAGGTAATACAGAGGCATAGTGGTACAGCTCTTAACAATAGTAAGGTCTTAGATCAATCCCAGCTTTAAATTACAGATAGCTTCTCTAAGCAAAACTTACATGTGGTTTTGGTTATGGTCTTTTGTTTGTTTGTTTGTTTGTTTGTTTGGGTTTTGTGAGATGGTTTGAAGGAATTAAGCACAGTCACTTGTGCATGTTAGTGTAAAAATGCCTGCATGTTGTTCAGTGATAGTGAGTGTGCCTAGCATACAGACGGCCCTGGGTTCAAGCTTTCGCACCAAAAGAAGCAGAAAGGTAGAATTGGATCAGGTTAGAATAGTGTCTTTTTTAAATTTTAGCTTTAGTGAAATTCAGTTGTCTCTGAAATTGTATTTTGTCTTATTACAATTTTTAAGGGTTTTATTCATATAATTTTATTCAGTTCTAGTATTACAAAGGTTTCCTAAACTTAAAATTGAATTACAAAAATAGTGATGAAACTCTAGCCCCATGCTGGAACGACTCTGTATCCTGCATCCCTGCTAATACTGTTAGCGATGTTACCATTTGTTCTCAGCCAATTGAGTGACTGTCCTACTGCTCACGTGACTCTGATTTCTTCCTGTTATCAAAGACAGTGGACCTGTCTTGCTCTGTACCTTATCAGTTGAATTTCTTTTTTTTATACCATATTTTATTTTTGTATTGTGCTTATTGAGCTATACATTTTGTTCCACTCTCCTCCTTCCTCCTCTCTCCCCTTCTACCTTCTTCCTTGACCCCCATGCTCCCAATTTACTCAAGAAGTCTTGTCTTTTTCTCCTTCCTATGTAGATTCATGTATGTCTCTCTTATGGTCCTCTTTGTTGTCTTGTTTCTCTGAGTTTGTGGCCTGCAAGCTGGTTTTTCTTTGCAGTATGTCTAAGCCACTTATGAGTGAATGCATATTATATTTGTCTTTCTGCATCTGGGTTACCTCACTCAATATGGTTTGTTCTAGATCCATCCATTTGCCTGCAAATTTCGAGATGTCATTATTTTTTTTATCACTTTGTAGTACTCCATTGTGTAAATGTACCACGAGGGGCACTGAGGTTATTTCCATGTTCTGGCTATTGTGAATAATGCTGCTATGAATGTAGTTGAGCACATGCTCTTGTGGTATGATTTAGCATCTTTTGGGTATATACCCAACAACAGTATTTCTGGGTCTTGAGGTCAATTGTTTCTTAATTTTCTGAGAAACTGTCATACTGATTTCCAAAGCGGCTATACAAGTTTGCACTCCCACCATCAATGGAGGAGCATTCTTCTTACTCCACATCCTCTCCAGCATAAGCTGTCATCAGTGTTTTTGATCCTTTTAAGATGGAATCTCAGAGATGAGTTGAATTTCTGTGAGTCACAAAGGTCTTGTTCGTCATATAAGCATTCTACATGTCCAGTGTCACTTGAAGTCCACAGTGTACTGAAGAGTGCTGCAGTGTGAAGTAAACCTGTGTGAGACTGGTCTGAGATTGAGGATTCTGCTTTAATCTGAGAGCATAGATGAAACTAGGGAACAATAGGAAAGTGTTACCCAACTGAAACAAAATGAACTTCTTTCTCAGGAACTATTTTAAAACCTCGCTGTCTATACTAGTTTGCTCTGTCCCTAGTATGAATTGTCTACCAAGGAGACAAGAATCTCCTTTCAAAACACTATCTGACCCTTTCAATTCAAATACAGACATGTCCAGATGTTGGAAAAACCAACACAGCTGAGAGCCTAGGACCCCACTGTCGCAAAGCAGTGAGGATCCCACAAAAGTCCCATCTCCTGTGTCACTCAAAACAAATCTGAAGCATAACTCATCTCATTTTCTATATGTGTCAACAACTGAAACTGTAAATAAATTGAGTAGCGGTTAGTGTATTATCTTCCAATTATTGTTGCTCTCAGTTCTTGATTATTGTTGGAGTGCTAAAGGGGTAATCTGTAATGCTTTTTCTAAATCTGAAATGAGAGCACTAGCTTTTTATAGTGATGACTGACTAAGGTAAGTGAAGCTGAGAATTATGAAAATGTATTTTTCTTAGATTAAAATAATCTGAAAGCATATTTTACGTGAAATACTTGGGAATTACAGTTGTAAGTCATCTCCCCATTTCTGTGTTTGTGGATAGATAGAAAGGCCTCGTCAACCACCTTCTCACAAGACGTGTCATGTCTGTCTTCTCAGTGGGCAGTGCTGACCTGTGGACACTGCTTCTGTAACGAGTGCACATCCATTATAATTGAACAGTACAGTGTGGGCTCTCATCGAAGCTCCATCAAGTGTGCTATCTGCCGCCAGACCACATCACACAAAGACGTCTCCTATGTCTTCACCTCAGAGAAAGCAAACCAAGAGGATGATATCCCTGTGAAGGTAAAGTAGGTCAGGAACACGCAGTCAGCAGTGCCACAGCGGTTAGAATCTGACAGTGTAAAGCATTAAAGAATGCTGGCACAGTGAGTGTAGAAACACTGTTCCCCGTGAAAACCGCCTGGAGGCTTCTGCTCTTTCACCGCTTTCCCGTTGTGGGACAGCGCTCAGCACACTAACCAACATGGCTGTAGTCATGCCTGCTAAGAGCTAAAGAATGCATTTCTCTGTCATTTATGTGATTTCTCTTCACTACAGTCAGTTTCAGACTGGGAATATTCCTAAATGCTAGTGTGTGTGTGTGTGTGTGTGTGTTTTGACCCAAATATATAGTTTTTGTTAAAAGTATTAAAAAAAAAAAAGCTTCTTATTTAGTCCAAACTAAAAGAAAGTAGATGGGTTTCCAACATTAGTTGATTATCATAAGAATGACACCGTATGCTTTAAAAACACTGTGGACTGACATTTCAGAATACAGCTAAACTTGAATTTATAGTCCTAACTTTTCCATGTGTTATTCAGAATCTTAAAAAATTCCTAATTCAATGTACAAACAGGATCCACTGAACTTTCTGCCCACAGTGTACTCATTTGTTAAAAAGCACTTACTAGGTATTTTTGCTACTTATTTTTCTTACATGTGGTTTTTAAACTTTTCGTTCTAATAGATTTAGTCAAAAAGCAAATCAGTATTTAAACATAATAGGCATTGGAGGCCTGCTGAAGAGAGTAACATTAGTAGGGCTAATGCTTAAGCGGGAAGTCAACTCCTCATTAATTCCTTCTTTGGATTCTTGGACACTTACCTTTTAGGAATGTGTTTTCTGAGTAGAATTCAAGGCAAGTTAAAATTACTGACAGAATTAGGTGTTTGAGGGCTGGAGAGATGGCTCAGTGGTTAAGAGCACTGACTGCTCTTCCAGAGGTCCTGAGTTCAATTCCCAGCAACCTCATGGTGGCTCACAGCCATCTGTAATGAGATCTGGTGCCCTCTTCTGGTGTGCGGTTATACATGGAAGGAATGCTGTCTACATAATAAATAAATAAATCTTTAACATTTAAAAAAAAAAAGAATTAGGGGCTGGAGAGATGGCTCAGTGGTTAAGAGCATTGTCTGCTCTTCCAAAGGTCCTGAGTTCAATTCCCGGCAACCACATGGTGGCTCACAACCATCTGTAATGGAGTCTGGTGCCCTCTTCTGGCCTGCAGACATACACACAGACAGAATATTGTATACATAATAAATAAATATTTAAAAAAAAAAAAAAAGAATTAGGTGTTTGATAGAGTGTTCTTCCTCTTAGAAACCAATGGTTCAATTAAAGAATAAAGGTAGCTGCTTTTTCCCCCTCACATATTTGAGTAAACTTCGAGGTGTCGATCTCATTACTCTCTAGTGTGTCCAGGTAAACAGTTGGCACAGATTTTCATTCGTCCTTTCCGTGCTTACTTATTAGATACCTCCTCAGCCTCAGGCCGTGTGCTAGGCCTTGCAGATGCAGTGCACAGTCAACAGGTGGTTACTGTTCTCATGAATTTTACAGCTTCCTGGTGGGGCTGTGGAGGAGGAATTTAAGATATAGTAAAAAGGATAGACATTAAACAAGTAGTTTTTATAATTATGATAAATACTACAAAATAAAAGCCAATCTCGACTTTTCTGAAGGAAGGCTTATTAAGCAGACAGGATCTAAATGATGGGGATTGGCCAACATGGGAAGAAGATAGAACTGGTCTGTTGAGAGGAGGTTCCCAGACAGAAAAGACCAAGCTAGAAATGACTCGGGCAGAAGTGAGTGGCTGAAAAGCAGTGGGCAAAACTGAAAATACAATGGAAGGGCAGGTGGGGTGGGTGCTCAGGCTTCAAAGCTTTTCAAGATCTTTCTTGCTACAGTCTAGGAAATCAGTTAGCAGGGATAGAAAAGAATAAAGGTTGAAAAGATTTAGATGAATTTAGGAGGCTACAGTAGTTGTCTACTTTAGAAACTTTAGATTAATGGCAGGAGAGATGGGAAGAGATGGATATATTCCAGGGACACTCAATACAACACAATGTTGGAGGTATAGCGTGGGAGAGCCTCCAGATTCTGATCTGAAAAATCAAGTAGGTACCATTGCTGCTATAGAGGAGAAATTTGAAAGGGAGTACATTTAAATATTTAATTGGTATTTTGAATGCAGAGCTCGAGATGATGAAATTCAGTCACTAGTATAAATGATCTTTGAAGCCACAGACTGAATAAGACAACCTAGTAAAGAAATACTGAGGTTGCCTTCAGGTTGAACACAAATTTATAACTTTCTAAGTAGTGGTGAAAAGGACAGTGAAGGCTGAAAAAGGAGGCTGAGAAGGAACTAAAGACATGGCAGCCTGGGAGAACACACTGTCAACCAAGGCCACTGGGTCAGTTCTTCAGTAGTGCTTTTCCGGGTGTCTCCAGGGATAGAGGATAGATGAACCGCGTGTGATGTAAACTTGAGAGGCTAGTAGAGATGACTTCAGAAGGAACTCCTTCAGTGCAGTGCATGCCAAGGAAAAGCAGAGTAAGAAAGCAAGGACTGTACAGGAAATGTACAAATACAGAGTGCAAATGACCAACTGTTGATAAACTTAGAAATAGAAAACCAAGAATTGTAACCGGACCCAAGTATAGAAAGTCAGTTCTTTGATGTTAAAGATAAATGATTTTTAAGCATATTTGAGATACAGTAAAAGGGATACACCGAAGTCAGCAAGACAGCTCAGCTGGTAAAGGCACTTGGTACCAAGCATAACAAGCTCAGTTCTATGCTGAGACCCACGTGGTGGAAGGAAAGAACAAATTCCCCAAGTTGTCCTCTGACCATATACACTGGGGCATGCATGTGTGTGTGTAAACACCCACAAAACAAAAATAACAGGACAGACTGAAGATAAAGAAAAGAAAGCTAATTTGTAATACTGGACTTTTGTAAAGATAGATAAGAGTATTCGTTTATAAAAAAGTAGAGATCTCATTGAATTCAAATGCCTACAGGGTGGGCTATTGAGCAAACAAATTGTAAGGCTATGTGATAATAATTTGGGATAGTGTAAATGAGGTAAAGAAGACTAATGCTAAAAGAGGTGAGACTTGAACATTTACATCTTGTAATGTCTAGGTCTGAGGTATATAACAAGTGTAAATTAGATGCTCAAGTCTTTAACAAATCATTTAGTAAATGATAACAAAGAACAGAATTAGAGGATAACTGAGTTTCCTGAGGATCATGAGAATGAAAACTTGTTTGTGTTAGGAACTAAAGATGCTTAAATGCAGAACACAAAAAAATAAGTATTTTCTATTTAAAAGGGCTCAAAGGATAGTGAGGCTCTAATAACAGTCAAAAAGAACAGTATTTCTATGAATCTAAAAAAACATGTATGTGTGTTTCTGATGATGATGAGGATGATCTTAAAGAACTTGTTCTGCCAGTTAAACATGGAGAGTGTAAGGCGGTAACTGGAAGGGTGAATACACAGGCGTGAATTACAGTGCAGCTTGGGAAGCATAAGTGAGAAGAGGGTCTTCTTGACCTAAGGATCATCTAGTCTGTCTCTGAATCCTTTGCATGAATTCTTTGTGTTTTTAAAGCATGTGTCAAGAAGCTGTAAAATGAAGTAACTGGAGCAACCCAGTGGCCAGCCCTGGGGCTTTGGTGGTCACTGTCTAATCGCTACTGCTACTCCTGGACCTAGAACTGTTGTCCTTCCAGTACCTCCTGCTCTCCATGCTCCTGTGTTTGCTCCCCTTCTCCTAAAGATATTTGTTTTCTCTTCTTTTTCTTCTTTCAGCTACAGGTATGCCAACAGCAACAAATGGCATTGGTGGGGGGCTGAGAGGAGGCAACTCATTCTTACATAGGGAAAACATTAATCATAGCACCAGGAACCAGCATGAGGTAGAAATGCTGTCCTGCTTTGTTCAGGGAGGTTTAGGAAGAGGTTGGTGTAACTGCCAGTAAACTGCACAGCTGTGGCACTGAGTCACTGAATCCGTCAGACCCAAACACCTGTTTGTGTATGGCAGCTTTCCTACACCCAGGACAGTTACATTTGCTGCCCTGTGGAAAGGGATGTCAGTGTTGAAATACTACTGCATACTCTTGCTGCTGCTTGTCTTTCATGAGTATTGGTAAACACATGAGTTAAACTCTTATTTAGAAAATAAAAGTTAGAGACTTTAGTAAAGATAGTTTCATCCTACCATTGACACGAATATGCTTACATTTCTTTTTACATTAAACATAACTAAATGTTTTACATATTACATAAACCAATCTCATTCCTCTTCCATTTTCTCACTATTTCTTACCACATTTGTGCTTGCTTTTCTCCTTTTTCTGTCACAATTTGGGTCTGTCACTTTTGCCTTCTGTTACTTGTCACCTCTTTGTCCCATTTATACCCCACTGTCTGTCACTTGTTCTTTCAAGCATCTGCATAATGTGTTTTTAAGGCTGCCTTACTCTCTTACTTGGTTCATATGACTTCTAGACCTGGAGGGTCTTGTCTTTTGTGTTACTGTCAAGTTTTTGGTACTTAAACATTATAAATAAGTTAGTTTCTATAACCTTAATATCTAAGTATTCATGATATAACTTTATACATAGCAGACAGTATGACAACATACACAGTGCTTAATCATATAACTTGAGATCTTTTAAAAGATTCAGAGAATGCAAAAATAAATAGTCTTTGGCATTTTGTTTCTAATGATGTTTTCAGGAAATTAGAGATTTCACTGTATCCGGAATCCTGTGGGTTAACCATAGAAATAAGATATTGAAATTACCAGTATCCTTTTGATGCGCGCACTTAAATAAAACTGTAGCATCCATAGCAACAGTACGACAGTATTCCTGAGTGACCTTGGAACCTTCTGGGCATTTCACAAAGTAAACAAAATTCCCCTTGCAAGTTCTGACAACTGCAGGACATTTTGGATGTAGTGAAGTAGGCCTTCTGGCAGAACATATCCCCACGTGGCTTATTCCCCGTGTCCTATGTTTGGCTAGGTTTCATACAAAGCACTTCTGCTCGTGTAAACCCAGCCTCTATACTGAACAGGATTCTTAGTTCATAAGTTTCTGTTCAGTACAGAATGTTACACATACCTATAACCATAGCAAAACAACGCCCGCCCCAGCCACACACTTGAACTGTTACTTCATCATCTTAGATTTTGAGTATCTCATGATTACCCAGTGTGCTTTTAATAATAGACTTTTCAGGCCCTATCTCGATGAGATAGGATATGATATAGGATTTTTGGTTTTAACAAGTATACCTACTAACCCCTGAGATGTCTGAGGAACTTCAGAGAGAAAATACTGCATTTACATTCTAATTTCAAGACAGTCAATACAGTAATAAGATATATAGAATTCTAGTGGGTTTTTTTGCTGGTTTATTTTTGCTTTCCCGGTTATCAAACGTTTTCTAGTTCATACTTTCCAAAATGTAATTAAACATCTGTGTAGAAAAAAACTAATTATAAAATTCTGAGTGAGTTTAAAATAAGATCTACACATAATTATATATACATCTGAATATCCCTATATGAGCTACCAAATATGTTATACATCAGTGTTAACTGGTAAAATGAAAATGGCATTGGTGCTTTTGTTAGGATAAGCATAAATCAATATAATTCTAATTGTCAAGAGAGAAAAGAAAGTTTCTATTCAGTGGCTCATTTAACAGTTATAGTTCTGAATTGTTAGACATGGTAAAAAGTCAGCCATGTCATACATACAATATAGTGAACACACAGTAAAGACACTGAAGACATAGAGTTTAATTACCTTTATTTAATTATCTCTTTGAAAAACATAGTCCTTTTCGGACCATTAACTCCACTAGAATGAGTTGAGACATGATTCTCTTCTGTATCCCAATCATCTAGCATAATACTAGCATGCAATAGGCACTCAGTATATGTCTAAATGGATGGTTATCAAATATTCCTTTGACCCAAATATTATTTTTAACTTTTTTATTGATAGTAACTTGTATCTGAAATAATTCTGCAGATTGTTTTTAAAATACTGAAAAATACTTTGGAGGCCTAATGTTTATCTAAGATTCCTCACAACTAGAGAAAGTATCTCTTGTGCTTTGTAAAGTAACACAAGTGAATATGTAGGAGGAGGGCCTACTTGTTCATCCTGGCCGCCCAGCTAGCTTAGCCCTGAAATAACCACACAGAAATTGTATTAATTAAATCACTGTTTGGCCCATTAGCTCTAACTTCTTATTGGCTAACGCTTACATCTTAATTTAACCCATTTCTATTAATCTGTATATCACCACGAGGTCGTGGCCTACCAGCAAAGTCCCAGCACTTCTTTCTCCAGCAGCGGGTCCATGGCGTCTCCTGACTCTGCTTTCTTCCTCCCAGCATTCAGTTCTGTCTTCGCCTACCTAAGTTCTGCCCTATTAGGCCAAGGCAGTTTTTTTATTCATTAACCAATACAAGCAACACACGGAGGGGATTCCCACATTATGAGTGAAGAACCCAGCACTGGTTCCTTGTATGTGCTTGAGAAGTATTTCTGCCTCGTGAAGTCAGACAAGCTTCAAAACTGGACCGTGTCATGGATGGTGCAGCAGCATGGGGTTCTACCTTAGTGAACGGGTGTGAACAGAAACAACATGACAGGTCGGCACTAGGAAGGAGCTAGCCTTATTCCAAATGGAAGAGTACAGAATGGAAGTCAGAACACACACACACACATACATGCACACACACACACACATTTATACACACACACACACACACAGGCTAAGTACAAAGTGACATAATAGGCACTATGCTCCCTGTTTGTTTAGCATCGTAGATTGGTATGCCTTGCTTCCAACTATGACCCCCTACATTATTTACTTTTATTAGAATTCACTAAAAATACAAAGCAATGATATTTTTCTGTTAGAGTAATTTTATTTATTCAAATCAAGTCAAGTAGTCTATTGCTTCTGCAACAGAGAGATCTTGAATATCTCTTACTTCCTTGTCTCTCTTTTAATAAGTTATATTATTAAAATTATTTAAATATTAACAGCAGATAGAAACAGATGTAGATGGGCAAGGATATCAAAATATCTAAGCCAGATACTCCATGTTTGCTTTATTATTATATTTTTTAGCCCACTAAACATGGCAAGAGACACTGCTCTTTCTATCCTTTCAGCACAGTGAAAATGTTTAACTTAGAATTTAAATTCTCTGAGTTTTGCAGCAAGAACACATGGCTGCTCTGTTTTAATCTGATTAAAATAAGTTAGTTACGCCTATTAGAATAAGAATCCGCCTGGCATTTCTGATTTTTCTGTTATGCTATTGCATGACATTGAGGCCAGATTTCATAAGAAATTCCTATTGTTAGCCTTTGGTGCTGATATATTTCTGCTGTTATTTTTTTAAGTGCTGACTTCCTATCCAAAAATTGAGTTTGTTCTATATTATACTTAAGAGAAAGGTTTGAGTTAATTTCTTTATTAACTATTTTAATATTTGCCTGCTGATCTCTTGAGTAGAAATAATAGCGATGAACAGAGTGACAAAACTTTGTCTCTCGTCCCATTTCTTTGAAACATTATTCATTCACAGTAGTCAAGATGTAGAATCCATGACTGGATTAAGAAAATATGGTATCCAGTGCTAGGGACATAGCTAGCTCAGTGATCACAGTGTATATCACACATGAGGACCATGGCTTAGATCCCCAGAACACACATATATACCAGGTAGGCATGGCAGGTTGCCTCTAATTGTAGCCTTGCAAGGTGGAGAAGGGAATCCCCTGAGTAAGCTGGCTAGCAACACTAGGTTTATCAGTGAGCTCTGAGTTTGGCTGAGATATTTGCATACACACTTGCAGAGAGCATGTGTTACTACTTTTTCAATGCTCTTTTATTTCAGTAATCTGTTGTCTGGAGCATTTTCTTTTGACTTAATAAATTATGGCTTTTATCAAGATAAGTTCACAGAGGCAGTGAATTTTCAATATAACATCTTATAATCTGAGGAAAGGGCTAGCAGTGTGGCATATAAGTAGAGTGTGGTTAGCATGTACATGCCCTGGGTTTAGTCTCCAGCAGTACAGGGAAAGCAGCAGTTAACCTAGAGCCAAAGATTCCAGTCCTAGTTGTGTGACTCAGGTCCATTAGAGTATCATGATAATTTATAAGTGAGGCCTATCAGGATTTTTTTTGTGTGTGTGTTTTGTATTGTTTTTGAGAGTTACCAAAATTTGATACCAGGAGAATGTTTTGATGTGTCCTTACACAGAGTTAGTACCCCATTTGGATGCTGCTTATAAAAGATGTTTTCTTTTGAGCTTTTAGTTAAGAAACAGCTCAGTAGATTAAAGAGCTTTTGTTTATCCTGAACTTGAAATGTCTTTCTTATTGTGTCTTGACATGAATGTGCATGTGGAGGTTATGGGGACACTTGTGGGTTTGTTTCCACTTTCTTATACCATGGAAGTTCAAAGGATAGAACTGACGTCATCAGGTTTGGCAGTAAGTGCTTTATTCACTGAGCCATAGCAAGTGAAATGCTTTCAAAAGTAGCACATTGCAGGGAGGAGGAGAGCTTCTATCTAAAGGTCTTAATTGTCACTTTGTGTTCTTTCCCTGTTTTTATTTTTCTCTGTTACTTTAAATCAGTAGACTGAGAGGGATGGTTCCCTTATACTTTTTAGCCTCGTATGTATAATTGAGTCTATATATCTAAAAAATTAAATATAAGTTCCTTATTTTAGTGGGAAGATTTTAACACTTTTTTTTCATAATTTTGACATTAAATTAGGGTAACCTTCTTCCTTGTTTATTTGGTTACCTTTCTGAATTCTTCCAATTGCAAGAAAGTGAATTTAGAGCACTGAGGAAAATGCTAATGCTGCTGTGGAAACACTTGCTGTTTGGTTTGTCTGGCCCCTTCCCCACACCTTAGTTTAGGTCATTATAATGTTCATAGTTAACGTTTGAAACATCAGTTACTGATTGTTTATTTACAGGTGCAGCCACTCTTCACTTTCATATTCCTTTGATGGAATAGTTCTGAAAGAAGAAAAAAAGGAAGAAAACCACTCTTGTAGAGTCTTCCTGTGTTTTAGATGACATCGTTTGAGTGTCTGTCCTTGTCCATGGCCTTCTGGTTGCAAGGAAGTTTTGCTCATTGGTTGAGTACTTCATTTTGCAAAGCGCCTTGAGTTTTTATTTTTTATATTCTTGCATTTCTATATGAAATGAATGAGAGTAGTGAGGAAGGTTTTGAATACCTAGTCTATTTCTTTGCCATAACAAAATTTGGTAACTGAAAAATCTAAGTAAAAAGTGTTTGGTGTCATTACTTTATGACTTTTTAGTATGCCTTCCTGCTCAATTAACTAGGTATAAGTTCTTTAAGGAAATGCTTTTTTTTTTTTTTTTTTAACATTTGAAGGACAGAGAGGAGCATGTGAACAACATGGCACATTGTTCGGAGTCGGAGGGCATGTAAACAATGGCTTTCTCTACCATTTGGCTCTGGGAACCACATTCAGATCATCAGGCTTGCCTGCCCACTTTGCTGTCTCTTACACATCTTGAATATAAACCCATTCAGTTGTGTATAGACTAAAGAAAATTCTCAACAAACAACATAAAAAGACTAAAGCACGTAATATTTGTTGTCTCTGTTATATACAGTTTGAATGAAGTGTTTATACCGATTTTCTTTTTATTCTTAACTAGGTATTATTTGGTACTAATGTATTTTCCCCTTTGTGTTTAAAGGGTAGCCATTCTACCAAAGTGGAAGCTGTGGTCAGGACTCTGATGAAAATACAGCTTAGAGATCCAGGGGCCAAAGCACTCGTTTTCTCAACGGTATAATCAAGACTTCCTGTTTCAGTCCAGCTGGTTTTCTGCCTCTACTTAGTATTTATCTGAGAACTATTTTTAAATGCTTACTGAAATAGAGTTAAGATTCAGAATTACTGTTGGATTTTTTTTCTGTGTCCTTATGTTTACAGAAATGTGATGATACTTTATAAAGGTAGTTCCTGTAAGATTTTATATTGATTTAAATAAGAGATTTTAATTTGATATTTTAAAAATTGGAATCTATAACCTTGACTCATTCACAAATGAATTTGACTCTTTAAGAAAAAGTTAGTTAATGAACTATAAAGTATTATTTATAAATATAGAGTAAAAACCTTAGTTTTGCATTTAGAAAGAAACTATCTATTACATATGCCACTGTTTTGTGTTATATATCTTCACTGTTTTCAGTGTTGCTTGTATTTTACTCTACTACCTTTCCTCAGTATTTGATGAGAGGGAGTGCTGTTTCCAACAGCACTGGTGTTAGTAGGTGTTCCATCTGAGACTTTGGGCTTGTTTTGTTCATTTAATTGTTACTGTGATTTAGCTATTATTTCTTCCTTCTCAAATCCTCTTTGGCCAAAAGCAGTGTGTAAACACTATTTTTCTCACTTTTATGTTCTAGTGGCAAGATGTACTAGATATTATTTCAAAAGCGCTGACTGACAACAACATGGAATTTACTCAAATCAATCGCATTAAGACATTCCAGGTGTGTCAAGTTTTCCTTGTGGTTTTAACAGATCAGTTGCTAACTGAAACTGCTGCTCACTAGCTGACTTAATCTTCTGCCCTGAACCCTGAATGAGGGCTTGAGTTCTTGATTATCTACGAAATAAGTATTTTAAAGGAAAGTAGAAAAACTGTAGATTTTTTTTCTATTCAATGATACCTAAAAAGAGAATCTTTAAAAAAATTTTTTTTTTTTACTTGAGATCCTTTTCCTTAATGTAGAAAAATGGCCTTGCACTATCTCTCTGGGATTATAGTCTACATACACACATAACACATTCACACACACACACACACACATACACACACACACTCAGGAAAAAGTAATATGGTTAAGATTTCCTTTATGTCACATTCAGTACAGCCACACCCACATACTCTGAGACATACCACACATAAGAACTAAAATGTAGTCGATTCCTGTCTTACCTCATATTAACTCTTCCATATTTTTCCTTCCTCTCCCCCATACAATTCAGTTTTCATGTATCACATATCTGTGATATGGTTTTTACTATATGCTATAAAAGCAAAAGTGTTTGTATGATTCTCTTCTTTAAAATTAAGGAAAATAACATTCCAGTTTCTAACCTTGGTGGATTAGCATTTATTTTTCACTACCATATTAAGTTTGAGCTATAACAAGTTGCTCTTATTTCAGTTGATCCAACTAAAGTTAAAATGTACCTTTCTTTTTTAGGAGAACCTTTCAGCATTTAAACATGATCCTCAAATCAATATTTTGCTGCTGCCCCTGCACACAGGCTCTAATGGATTAACTATCATTGAAGCTACTCATGTCCTCTTGGTGGAGCCCATACTGAACCCTGCCCATGAGCTTCAGGCCATTGGGAGGGTGCACCGAATTGGACAGACAAAGTAAGAACTAAAATAGCATCAACCACTTTGCCTCGGGTTATAGAAACTAACTCAGCATTTAAATTCTTTATTTATGTTCATCGAGGCTTGTTTGTTTTTAACTACAGGTTCTATCTCCCTCACCTGAAATTTTTGGGACCAGAAATGTTTTAGATTAGGGTTTGTTTTGCCTTCAGATTCTAGAGTATGCACATGCCTTTAATGAAATATCATGAGGAAAGGTTCTGAGTCTAAACATGAAATTGATTATATTTCACCTTAAACATAGTCTAACCCCTCACATGAAGTCAGTTGTGGGAATTTCCACTTTGTCGCATGTCTGCATGGACTCCCTGGCACTTGTATGCACATGCACACACAGCGAATGAACCAATAATTCAGTGTAATAAAAGACAATTAGACTTAGTGCCATACCTAAACCAAAAGTAATAGTGATTATTATATGATAATGTACTTACTTTATTCAAATAACAGATTATGTGGGTATCTGTAATATAACTTCCTTATTAATGTTATTTCATGGACGCTAGAGACCTTGAATGTTTGAAGATATATACATACTAAGTACACACTAAGCACTCATTTAGTATTACTGAGCACCTAAAGTATGTCAAGCATTATGCTACATACTGAAGATTGTAATTACATAAAACAAAACCTATTCACATTTACAATGTACATAGAAAGCTACTGTGTAGCACAAGAAAAAGATGATTCAGAGTTATATGAGCAAAACAATGTGTTTTGTGCCCTGAAGGATAAAGACATTAGGCTGAAGGACTGATTAAGTTAGAGTTGTGTGTGTATAACAAAGGGGAGATAAACTGGCATTTCTGAGGATTGTGAGGGGTTTGGAACTGCTGTAGTAAATAAAGCATGAGAAAGGAGTAGTAAATGAACTGCATGTCAGAATCAGAACTACAGATTTACATAAGCTGCAACTTTGAAAGCTTAGACAGCTCTAGTTTTAAGTGGGAAAGAGATAGGTTCTGTGTTTAAATTACTTTTCTCATTGCTGTGTCAAACTCCAAAGAAAAGCAACTAAGAAAGGAAGGGTTTATTTGGGCTCACAGTTTTGTTAATAGAGTGGGAAATTCAGTGGCAGGAGCAGGGCATGGTTGGTCATATCGCAAGCACAGTTAGGGACACCGGCAGATAAATGCTGACTCCTCGCTTACTTTGTCCTCATTCAATCTTGATCCCAGCCCATAGGATGTTGCTGCTGCATTCAGGGTAGCTCTCCCTTCTTCACACAAGTCTTAAATGTTTTTGGAATTACCCATATAGATGAACTGAGAGTTGTATTTCTATAGTAACTCTAAATCTCATCAAATTGATGATCAAGATAAGCCTTTGTACTCTTTAAAAAAAACTTAACAAAATATGGCAAAAGTAGGACAACCATAATCTCAACACACAGTTGTTCTAAAGTACTTGCAAATGTCATTTAGAATGCAGTTAAATTTAGAATGCAGTAAGTGCAGGTGCCCACATGCCATGCTGTTCAAAGGACCACTTCCAGAAGTGAGTTCTTGCCTCCCATTTTGTTGGGGCCATCTTACTTCCTTTCTACTGGTTTGCATACTTTGTAGGCTAACCTTTTAACTTTTTTTTTTTACATACCAACCACAGTTTCTTCTCTCTCTTCTCTTCCTGCTTCCTCTTCCTACCTCCCTTCTACTTTCCCCCCCATCCACCTCTCCTCCATTTTCATTCAGATGTAGGACTCCCATGGGAGTCAACAAAGCATGGCATATCATGTTACAGCAGGACCAAGCTCCTGCCCCTTGCATCAAGGCTGGGCAAGGAAACCCAGCGGAATAGGATCCAAAAAGCCAGTTCATGCATCAGGGACAGGTCCAGGTCCCACTGTTAGGGTCTCCACAAATAGACCAAGCTACACAGCTGTCACCCAGACGCAGAGGGCCTAGGTCAGTCCCATGCTGGCTCCCTAGCTGTGAATCCAGAGCTAATATCTTAAGAAAGAATGATTAAATAGACAATAAAATCATTGTGACATCTGTAAGTCAGGAGTGTTCCTGGTTTTAAAAAAAAAAAAAATAGCAAAGAACTACAGTTGCTAGACTGAAAGAGGTAGGAAATTAAGTCAGGGATCATATTAGACACTAATTAGGAAGCTGTACGCAGAAATAGGACACAATCTAACTTCAGCTTTGAAGCAATCATTCTGAAATTTGTACTCAGTCTAGGGAATAAGGGGTGGTGTAGGAGGTCCTTCTGTATTTGTATTGCTTTTATTAGTTGAATAAAGAAAACTGCCTTGGCCTTTTGATAGGTCAACCCTTAGGTGGGCAGAGAAGACAGAACAGGATTCTGGGAAGAAGGGCAGTGTGGCAGACATCATAAAGCTCCTGCCCGAAACAGACATAGGTTAGAATCTTTCCCTGTAAACCATGACCTCGTGATTATATACAGATTGTTAGAGATCGGTTAATCAAGATGTGAGACTTAGCCAATAAGAGGCTGGAGTTAATGGGCCAGGCAGTAATTTAATTAATACAACTTCTGTGGGGTTATTTCGGGGGTTAAGCTAGGTGTGTGTCAGGACACAGCCGGCAGTGGCAGTTATACTACAAAGGGGAGCACAGGAGGCCATCCAGTCTTGATGACATTAGAAGGTAGTTTGACTGGTGGCAGTTTACCTGTTGAGTTGTGATCAGGTTCTAGATTGTTCTGGAGGTAGAACTGATAGTGACAGTTTCTGTGGACATAGTGGAGATTGGATTTGAGAGTAACACCATGGTCTTCGGCCAAGATGACTAGGAGGATAAACAGCCTTTAGCTGAGTATATTATTACTATTAGAATAGATTCAGTGTGTGTTGGAAGGAGGCCACTTGGCAGATTGTTCATTTCCCAGCTGCCCAGACCCCCAAAATAATCACATAGAAACTGTATTAATTAAATCACGGCTTGGGCCATTAGCTCTAGCTTCTTAGTGGCTAACTCTTACATATTAATTTAACCCATTTTTGTTAATCTGTGTATCGCCACGTGGCTGTGGCTTAACAGATCAGGTTCCTGGCATCTATCTCTGGTGGTGGCTCCATAGAGTGTCTCTGACTCTGCCTTCTTCCACCCAGCATTCAGTTTTGTTTTCTCCACCTAGCTAAGTTCTGCCCTGCTATAGGTCCAGAGCAGTTTCTTTATTCATTAATGGTGATTGCAGTATACACAGGGAAATCCCACATCAAGTGGAAAGAACAAAACTTGACTTTAGATATGTTTGAGATTTTATTAGCTATATAAAATATGTAAGTTCAGAACCTGGGAGGGAAGCCAGGGCTAAAAGCATACATTTTGAAATCGGTAGCATATGATGGTGTTTTTAAGCCATGAACATGAATGGGATTATTAAGGTAGAGAGAGAATAGTGATAGGCCACAAACTAAACTCTGGCGCACGTAAATTAAAAGACTAGGAAAAAGTAAGACACCTATATGGTTGACTGTCATTTGCTGCAAAATTTCAAGAAAGGAATCCTACTACTAGAGTTTCGACCGTTAGCTTTATTTAGTGGCATGATTAGAAGCAGTTTAAATGTAACATTGTAGGCAACTGCCTGTTAGGGTTTTTTTGTTCAACTCTAGTTCAACCATCACACACAGAAGGATTAGGTAGCTTGTGGGATGACAGAGCTACATAAAAGGTGGCAGGTGCAAGCCTGCTTGCTGCCTCCATGGTGTGTAGACAGAAGTTTCTGTCCCGCCTGGTCTCACAGCTGTTCAGTCCCAAATAAACACACAGAGGCATATATTAATTATAAACTGTTTGGCTTATTGCTCAGGCTTATTACTAGCTAGCCTTTTCAACTTAAATTAACGCATAATTCTTATCTATATTTAGCCACGTGGCCTGGTAACCTTTTCTCAATAAGGCATTCTCATCTTGTGCCTGGCTGACGACTACATCCCTGCCTTTCCTCTTCTCAGAATTCCCCTAGTCTGTTTGCACTGCCTGTACTTACTGCCTAGCTATTGACCAGTCAGAGTTTTATTAACCAATATGAATGACAAATCTTTACAGTGTACAAGATTAGTATCCTACAGCAATGGTCCGTGCTTTAACCAGGGCACCCTACTGTTACTGTGCAGCTCATAGGAGCAGAATCTTGTGAGATTTTGTTGCAGAGTAAAAGAAGAGAATAAAATTAAAAATTTTGTCCTTTTCAATTAAAAAATTCATTGGAGAATGATTCATTAGAAATAGGAAAAGAAGATGGATGAGAATGCTAGACATTTTCCATGATTGGGCAAGAAGATATAGGACCCAACATTGATTGGTTTCAGGCAAGAATGTGGCTCTGGTAATGGTCAGGAAGAATTTGTGCTGTACCCCTTTATTAAAGTGGAAGATGTGACCTTTTTTCACCCCATTTGTCCTAAATCTCACCTCTTTTCATATTCTCAAGAGCCTTCCTCTTGTGATACATCACATACACATGTCTGGATGGTACTCCTTTACAGTCCATCTCTACCTGCTTGACCTCCCATTCTCTCAGCCTTTCTCTTTTGGCAGTTGCTTACGGATAATACACTGAAATGAGGCTTGGCGTGAGTGTAACTGGTGGCCTACTTCTTGCCAGAGGTCCAGTGGTTTTTTTTTTTTTTTCTTTATCTATTCTCTCTGAGTTGTTAGTTCACCCAGTGCCATAGTCTTAAGTAGCATGTGTTGTAGGTGACCTTAACATGTATATCCCTCAGCCCAGAAATTCCCAGCTTTATAGATGTAGTCAATATCTGTACATGTATCTAGGAACTTTATGTCTCTCCCAGGAGGTGGACTCAAGTTTAACATAGGTGAAACAAACTGCATTCTTGCCACTGTCAGCCAGTCCAAGCTTTCGTCATATTTTAATGTGACTCTTATTATCTATACTTGCTCAGACAAGAAATCTAGGACTCTCCTGTATATCTCTTTTTAATGTCTTATATTCAGATTATTGCAGTCTTGACTATTATATCTCACAAATATTCCTCATCTTCTGACTACTTATCTCACTGACACAAAGCACAATCCACCTCCTCCTGCTGAGATGATCACAAATTTGACCTCTTCTCTGCCTTTACAGTAGCCAGAGACATTTACAAAGTACAATCTATTGTACATCAAATTATGCATAACCACTGGAGCATATTCTTTATAACCACAAAATCCAGTTTGTGGTTGGGTCCTGCAAAGCCACATTATATGATCTGAGCTCTGCTCACCTCTAACCTCGTGGTTACCTGTTTCATTTACAACACACTTTTGCCATGCTAGCCTGCTGTTGGCCCCTGAAGCATTGTTAGCTTTTTCCAAGGATGTGCTCATCCAATAATGTTTATTAAAATGCTTTGTCTTCTGTTTGCCTGCTCTCCCTGCTGTTTCTGTGCTTACTGCCTGATTCCCTTTCTTATTTCCACTCCTCATGGCATTATCTGTGCATGGAACTGATTTTCTCATGTGTTTATTACTATCTGTCTCTCTCATGAGACGTTAGTTTATGAAGATCACCTTGGCATCATTCACTACTGCCCTGTCCCTCAGCACATTTATTTGTACCTGCCACAAATGGGCACCCATGGACTAATGAATATAGCGTTTATGTGTAAAGTCAATTTCTACTCATTTGTCTTACGATGGTTTTTAAGCTTACAGTTATTATTTACCTTCCAGACCTACCATTGTACATAGATTCCTAATTAAAGCAACAATAGAAGAGCGAATGCAGACAATGCTGAAAACTGCAGAGAGGAGGTAGGTAACAGCTTACAAGTGAAGCCCCCTGTCATGTCACCTTTGCATGGATGATAGCAAATGATAAAACACTAATACTTTTTTGTTAAAGCAAAGAATAGCATTTTATCCAAAGCATTTCCCAGTTAATGCTTTTGCCATTTTGTGTTTGATTTAAGATATTTATTAGGCTGTAATATGCGAAACTAACCGACTTTAACACATTGGATTACTTTTTAAATGAAATTTATTGTTCTGTCTTACCTAAACTTTTGTCTGGTATGTGTGAAACAAATGTGCACTGCTGCATTATAGTTTATACGTGCCCATCACAGATCGAGAGGAATGTCTGAATTGGCAGCCTTGGCTGGTAAATTGTGTCAGAGTCACAGACATCAGAGTAGCAGACTCGTCAAAACAGTCTGAACTTTGAAACATGACCTCGCAGTCTTTAAACTTCCTAATGTTTGCACAAATTAGTAATTTCCATTTAAAGTTATCTTAAAATAAACTGGTACCTGTGTACCTCCCTATATGATGAGATGGGTCGGAAGTTGCCCATGGTAGAGATGATTACTTTTTAAAAGGGACTGCATCTCCAGGGATACTTTGAGAAACAAAAACACTTTCAAACCAGAAATCCCTGTACTCTGGTGATGTACAAGGAAAGACGCCCCCCACCCCGCGAGCTTTACATCCTTTTGTTCTTGTTGTCACATGCTGCAGACTTCAATGATTTGTATTTCAGTTACTTTAAATAATAAAAGAGCTACTGTACTTATCTGTAAGTGGAAAAAGTAATGGTGAATTTAGAACTTCCTTGGCAACAGTTGTCAGATGTTCATAGAAAACATTGTTTTACAAATCCTCAGAATTATTTCAGCATTTTCACTGATTTTCACGAGATGTAACACTTACATCATTATATACTTCAGAGAAGTTTCCTATGGCTCAGTTACGACAACATAGGAGCAGGTTTGTGTTCTCCATTTACTGTCATGCATGCAGTCACTGACTCCTGGCCTTCCTTTTTCATTGTGTTTTTTGAACTCTTGCAGTCATACAAGCTCATCCGGGAAGCACTCTGAAGCCTCTGTGTTGACTGTGGCTGATCTGGCAGACCTCTTTACCAAAGAAACAGAGGAGCTTGAATGAAGTGCTATTAAATCATTTCATAAACTTTAATACAGGATTTAACTTTCATAGTTGTAAAGCAAAGTTGTTATTTAAAAACAAAAGATCAGTAATTTACTGATATAGTATTAGTAAATACTATTTCAAACTGGATGAATTCTTTTTGTTATAAACTAACATAGTAATGATTGGCTATTGGTTCCTTTTCAGTATACTAATTTCAAAACATGTACAATGAATTTTAATTTTACATTTCTACTGAAATACTTTTTGTTCCAGTGAATATCTATAACTGATAAGGCAGGGAATTAAGAAAGGTATTGAAGACTTTTCTTTTAATGCATAGATATTTGTATTAATGAGTCGGAATACATAAAAGAGAAAGTAAACTAGTCTAGTTTTGTATGACCTGATATAGCCAATCAGTGTAGATCACATTTGTGAAAGGGCCTTCAGCATCTTTAGCGTATGATTCACCATTATCTTCTCAGTAATGTTTTAAGAAAATGCTGAACTGTAATAACTAGTTATTTGCATGAGTTTAAATGTAACACTGTCATTGTAACTTGAAAGTAAGTAGTGCAACTCCTAATGCTAAGTCGTTAGGCAATTACTTTGCTTTTCATGTTTTGCTACTAAAAGTTAAAATACGGAAAATTTCCTTTTTTCTATTATGTATTAAAGTAGTATCATTGTTAGTGTGGATTTATGTATATTAATATTTACCTGACAATGATGTTTAATTCTCTTAGTAAGTTTTTTTTAATGTGTTTTAAGATGGATGTATCTGTAACTGAGTTTTATGGTTTTATGGCTTGTGATGTTACTATAGCATAGAAATGTGGCTTTTTAAAAAAAGAAATCATCATTGTATTGATGTCTTAGACAATATTCCTTTCCTGTGTTCTTCTAACTAGTCATTTTAGCCGCAATAGAGTTTATTCATTTCAATTACTCCGCCCTTAGGAACTACTAGTGTTACTGCAGGAGAGTGCTGTGTTCACACATGCATATAACTGTAAGTGATGAAACTGTCTCTTCTTCTGTGAAGAATTAATAGATGGCCTTGGCATCACAGAATCAGAAGTAGCTTGTTGTAACCTAGCCCTGTGATGGAATATGAGTGTTCTTATTTCCTGTCTTTAAGCCTTTGGAGTTTTAAGTGACCCTCAGGATTCATTAGCTCCTAACTGCCCAGAAAACTGTACTGGACTGGGTCTCCTTCATCAGTGAGCTCTGGTGCTTAGCTAAGGTGCATTTCCCACTCCAGGTTTACAGGTGACAGTTCAACTGAAGAAGACACATTGTGGGTGCTTATTCTTTAGTTGAAGGGAGATATGCATTGATTCTTTTATATGAAATTAAACTATTTTTACAGCTCTTTTACATATCATAAAGAGCTTTATGTATATTCACGTGGTTAACATTCCTAATAGTCCTGTGAAGTAGATATGATTAATATCATTTCTGTTTTGAAAGTAAAGAACTAATGCTCAACAATACTAAGAAACTTGCCTATGACATGTAGCAATTATACAATGGAGCCCAGGCCCCCAGGCTTCACATCCACTGTTCTTCCACCACATCATATGCCATGCTGAGATTCAGAAGCCTTGTGGCTATAATTTAATAATGAGATTGTTTAAGTAATTATTTTTGTTTTCTAGTATTACTTCATGTGCTATGTTCTAGGGAAAACAATTTGTTGTTCTTCAATTTAAAAAATGATATATTGATATCTATACTTACCAGTATTAGAGGAAAGCTACTCTTATTTATTTCAGTAAGATACCTCAATTAAATAAATATTTTAGTGGAAAATGAAATTGTGGATTGTTTAATTCCTATAGATCATATGAACTTTGGTTTTTATTGACTTAACAAAAATTATCAAATTGCCTATCAGCCAATTCCCCCTAAGAATGAAAATGTCAATGTTCTGTCCCTGTGTACTTCAAGTGCTCTACATGTGAATTTAATGCATTCTGAAGCTGGATAAATTGACATTCACAAGCACAATAGGACATGCAGTAACACTGTTCCTTTATAGAATTAATATTGTGGTGCTGAAAGGTCTTTGCCTTCATCAAGTGGACCAAAGTCATCCTTGATCTCTGCCTACTATCACCTGAAAGCCTCTTAGTCATTTGTTTTAGTTCTACTGCAGTCTAATATACTCACTTTATAAATCTTTCCCATCTTCCTGCAGAAACTAAGCTCTGAAAGCTAGAATCTTGTCCTCTGCTGTAGTGCATCACATGGTACACAGTAGAGGCTCAACAGATAGATGTTGGACAGTGTTATGGTTGGAATAAGGATTGCTAATGTTCCAAAGACTTTCAATAGATACTTATTGCTAAAATATCCTTTATATTAAAGCCTCTTAAAATATCTCTTTTTTCTATAAAGTAGAATATGAGATACATTTATGCACAAGTTGTTTCTAATCAGTATATTATATAATGAAGACTTCAGCTTCTATGACTTATAATACAGCTTATCATTTCTACCTCTGATTTCTCCTGTCCCAAACTTAGGCCTTAATTTCTAATTCTTTTGAATATATCCAGCAACACCTAAGTTTGGATTAAGCTCCGACTTTGTTAGCAATCTGGGTCTTGTTGAACAAGTTACTTAGTCTCTGGACCTCCTCATATCCAAAATAAGAGTTGGGTTATAACAAACTATTAGCATACTTCAGTCATTTGTGGGAAAGAGTTCAAACTAGACTAGAATTCTATGATTAACCAAAGCCTTTTTTATACTCTGCACAGACCAGAAAAAAAAAACTGAGGAATCTGGGAAAGAAGGAAATTTTGAATTTAAATAACAATTTTACTTTTTTCTTTTCTTTCTTTCTTCCTTTCTTTGGTTTTTTGAGACAGGGTTTCTCTATAGCTTTGGAGCCTGTCCTGGAACTAGATCTTGTAGAGCAGGTTGGCTTGGAACTCACAGAGATCAACCTGCCTCTGCCTCCCAAGTGCTGGGATTAAAGGTGTGCGCCACCACCGCCCGACTTAAATAACAATTTTTCAATACACACTTATGGATACAATTAAGAAAATTTTTGTAAGGATAAGAAGTAATGAGGTTTATTAAAAGCCTGAATCTTGAAAGAAAGGGAAGGTCAGAAGGCACTTTCATTTCTTCCCCAACATTAGACATAATCAGTAGCTAGCTACTCCCATCTGCTTTTCCATGTATTTTGGAGGGTTTTGTTCTTATTGCTGTTGTTTGTTTACTTTTGACATTTTATGATGCTGCACATTAAAACTGCATGTACAGCTTTTCCCAGATCATTATTTTTATTGCCCCACGCAGAAAGCACTAAGTTTTGAGATTGAAAATAATTCCATATAGTTTAGTAAATATTTATTATAGGTCTTAAATGTTCCCTAATTTAATTCTGGCTTTTTAGGTCTTGGGTTTCTGATTATGTAACTAATAGCATGCCATTGTGTAGAGGGTAAAAAACAATGCTTGTGCACACAGGTAAGTACTGGAGAAGGGATCCAGTAATCACAGGCATCCTTCAAAGCAAAGAGGTTTTAAACCTGTAGTCCTCCTGGAATGCTGGGAGTCGATGTATTACAACCTGATGATACTTTGCTGTCTGATGGGCTAGGCTCTGCCCATGTCTTCCAGAATTTATCCCAGAACTTTTTCCCCTAAAACCTTGATCATTACTTCTAGGCCATAAAACTCATTCTTGTGAGAGATGCCATTTGTACTTTACAAGAGCCTCCTATGTGACTTCTGTGTAATCTTAGGGCCAGGCCAAACCCTGATTCCCACAGGTGTTAAGTAAATCTCCCTAGACTCTTATCTTGAGCATTGTTTCTCAGTCAACAAAAACCCATCTTATGGATGAAACCATATTTACTTTGTGAAGAGCTTCAATATAAACATGTCTTGAGCTTTGTTGTACTTGTGGGAATGAGTTAATTGTTATTTGAAAACCTTTTCTCCAAAATGGTGCTGTTCTTAAATATGGCAAAAATATAGAAGCTGATATCGGACTGTAGAAGTCTTAGCCCAACACTAGTACCTAAAAGTCTGGCTGAACTGAGTTTCATTCTCGTCTTCCTAGATTCCCTGCTGCCTTTAAAGCCTGCAACTACCCTCCACCTCATTCAACTAACATTTCTCTGTATTCACTTGTTCCCATTAGTAAAGTTCTATAGTGCATTATTCTTGACTCCAGGAACTTTTTTTCTAACTGCTCCTATCAGATAATCTTCTTATTTCAACCCTTTTATTTAAACTTCTTCTCTCAAACAACTTATCACTTATAGATTCTGACTCTTAAAAAGAAGGCAAGAAATTAACCAAGATGAAAGGAATTACAAACATTATTACCATTGTCTTTCGGGTACTCACACTTGCATCAGACTTCCAAGGGTTTGATGTCTAGCTGACTCATCCTCTGAATTAATCAAATGTCCTGTGTCAAAGATTCTCAAATATAACTCTGTAGCCTGAAACAGAACTGCCTGAAGACTTCGTTAAAATTCAGATTGTTGCACTAGCCCCTAGAACTTCTAGTATAAAGAAATGTGTAGGAGTCAATCATTTCTAATAGGCGTACAGGTGTTACTGATGCTGCTGGTTCAGAGAAGAACATTATGTACATGCATGTATGTGTGTCTGTGTCTGTGTGTGTACATGCAAGTGGAGGCCAGAGTTTGAGGTCAAAATTTGATGCCTTCCTCTATCACTCTCAACCTTAGCGTTGAGCCTAAGCTCACCAGTTCAATAACCACAAGGATCCTTCTGTCTCTAGCTCCCCAGAACTCAGTCTCTGATATGTACTTTCATGCCTGGCTATTTATTGAGTGCTGGGGATCTGACCTCAGGTCCTCATGGATGTGTGGCAAGAAGCAGTTACACTAAATGAAGCATCCCAGCCCTCAGAGGACACACTAAGAATTTCTGTTCTATAAATAAAAGCTCTACATGGTTTGTTTACTCTTAGTTGTAAATGCCCGAGGTAGGCCAGAAATGTGATATGTCAACATTGTAGTACTCAGTGAGGTTATATGATGTAATAAACAAGAAAGTTTCATTTGTTTGCCAAGCACTTTAAAAGATCAATACATTCATCTTTCATTGCCATCAAAATAAATACAACTTCAAAGTGTTCAAGTACTCAGCTTTAAACTGGGCATAATAGAGGAGTGTAAGATCAACAACAAAGGCAAATACACTTTTAAGGCAAGCACAGTTTTCCTGAGAAATCTGGGTTAGTCCACTTACAGAGCATAATTCAAATTCTCTCACAGTCCAGTGTTTTAAAGATAGTTAAAAGAAGCAATTGAGGTATAACCTCACATGTGCAAACCCTGAACCAACAGGATGGCTATGCTTATGGAAAAAGGTCAGGGCATAGACAGGCACAGAGGTAAGACCATGGGAAGGCCCACGGAGGATAGCCATCTACAGACTAGAGAGACCATAAGCAAAATCAATGTTGCTAATATTGATCTAGAGCCACTAGCCTCTGATATGTAAGTCAATTCTGTGGTTTAACCACACAGCTTGCAATACCCCCATAATGGCAGCACAAGCAATGTTACATATTTGGCAAAGTTATCCTCTTTATTATAGAAGGACCTATATTTGATTGTTATGTCTGCCGAAACAATGACCATGGAAGGTGTTGGCTTCAAATAATAGTTGTTGACAATATCATGTTATCAAAGCCAAAATTCTAATGTTTCACTTGACTCAAATCAAGGTGCTAAGAGGTCTCCAAATCTCCCATAAGCTCTTTAGGAGACTCTTCCTCTGTCCTGCCTCCTCCCCCCAGCATCTGGTGCTACTGAAATTCTTAGTTGTGGGCCCATCACACCAACCAGTGTTTTCACAGTGCCTTTTCCCGTTTATGTCTGATCACCTTTCATTGTCCTGTGACAATGACATTTGTGAGTGCATTCAGATCAGGGCCTGCCAGATTCATCCCAAGATAGCTTTTCATCTCAAATTCTTGACTTAATCTCTTTTATATGATTCTCTTTATATATTACAATTATAGGTTCCAAGACTAGAACCTTGTGATAGCTTATATCTGCCATGTGTTAAAGGCTAAATTTTGAGCTTGGCTCATTTAGAAGGTAAGAAAACCTTTGATCCAGTAGGGAGTCTTGGATCACTAAGCTCTTACACTTGAAGGAGCTTGTAGAATACAGTTCCACCTCTTCCTGTACATTGCTTGACACCATGAGGTGAACATTTTGCTATACCATGATCCTACCAGAAATAACAGGCCAACCATGGTCTGAAGGCTCCAAATCTTTGAACTAAATAAACCTTTTCTCCTTAATAGGTTGGTGTATCTCAAATGTTTGTTAGAATTATGGAAATCTGATTGTACTACTTTTTTACCACTATGACAAAAAATAAAAATAAAAAGCAATTTAAGAGAAGGCAAGTTTAATATGTCACTCTGTCCAGAGGAAACATTCCACTGTGACCGAGAAGCCATGGCTGCTGGAGGGCTCATAGCAGCAGCTTTGATATGGTACCAAATAAGAATAGAGAACCAGGCCCAAAGCAGAGCCAGTTTGAAACCCTCAAAGGCCCTTCCCCAGTAACATACCTCAAGGCTATCCATGCCTTCAACCACCAGAATTGTACCCCCACCCTCAGATCTGGAGACAAGTATTCAAACACTTGGGCCTGAGGGAGTACATTTTATATCCAAGTTATAACACAGACCTGCTATCCTTAGGGTTATACATCCCACTACACTTTGATGGGTGAAAGAGTTCTGATATGGTTGCTGAAACACCTTGATTTAGTAATGTTTCATGTTTAGTGTACCTGTTCATTTTAACA